AGAAGCACTCATTTCATGTCCTTCATTGAAAAGATTATGAAAATAACCTCTCCATCTGTCTTTAACCGCGTTCTCTGTAGCAAGAACCTTTCCATCCTCATCCTTGATGCACCTCACTTGGTTTAGGTCCCTTGTCTTCTTTTCCCTTGCTCTAGATAGTTTATAGATATCCAACTCTCCTTCTTTGGTATCTAGTCGTTTATACATATCGTCGTAAGCCGCTAACTTAGCTTCTCTGACAGCTTTCTTCGACTCTTGCTTCGCTTTTCTATACCTTTCACCATTTTCATCAGTCCTCTCCTTGTATAAGGCTTTACAACATTCCTTCTTAGCCTTCACCTTTGTTTGTACCTCCTCATTCCACCACCAAGATTCCTTTTGGTGTGGGGCAAAGCCCTTGGACTCTCCTAATACCTCTTTTGCTACTTTTCGGATACAACTAGCCATGGAATCCCACATTTGGCTAGCTTCCCCCTCTCTATCCCACACACATTGGGTGATTACCTTCTCTTTGAAAATAGCTTGTTTTTCTTCTTTTAGATTCCACCATCTAGTCCTTGGGCACTTCCAAGTCTTGTTCTTTTGTCTTACTCTTTTGATATGTACATCCATCACCAACAAGCGATGTTGATTAGCCACGCTCTCTCCTGGTATAACTTTGCAATCCTTACAAGTTATACGATCCCCTTTCCTCATTAGAAGAAAATCTATTTGTGTTTTTGACGACCCACTCTTGTAGGTGATCACATGTTCTTCTCTCTTCTTAAAGAAGGTGTTGGCTAAGAAGAGATCATATGCCATTGCAAAATCCAAGATAGCTTCCCCATCCTCGTTTCTCTCCCCAAAACCATGGCCACCATGAAAACCTCCATAGTTGCATGTCTCCCTGCCCACGTGTCCATTTAAATCTCCTCCTATAAATAACTTCTCCGTCTGAGCAATTCCTTGCACCAAGTCTCCAAGATCTTCCCAAAATTTCTCCTTCGAACTCGTATCCAACCCTACTTGAGGTGCGTACGCACTAATCACATTGATAAGTTCTTGTCCTATTACAATCTTGATTGCCATGATTCTATCTCCTACCCTCTTGACATCTACAACATCAAGAATTGGCATGGATTGTTGTTTGCAGTTGTCATAAGCTGGAGAAGAAAGGCATCAAAGGTGGAAGACGTCGGGGATGGGGTCTCATAGGAAGAGGAGTTGGGAGCCCATCGCGCCTTGAGGTTGTTTTTGGAGTCGACGGAAATAGCACCCGGATCTGGTCATCGACAGTGGCCTCGGGACAAGGTGGTGGACAGAGAGAGAGTGGAGGAAACACTGAGAAAAGGGACGAAAGGTGGCGATGGTGAGGAAGAAATGGGGGAGAGGAAATGGATGAAGGGTATTGTAGATGAGTGCTATTAAACCCACCCATTGTTTTATTTTTTCACCCACATTATAAATTCGCCCACTATGAAATATTAAAAAATTAATATGTTATTTCTACACCCACCATTATTCCTAAAATAACCTTTAATATATCTAAATACTTTTTCGATTTAAAAAAATATTAAAAATAAACAATCGACCGCTCATACTCACTACCGAAGAGAGCAAAACGGGAGGGGAACGAGGAGAAAGAAGCAAGGGATAGACAGAGAAACGGGGGACTAACAAACTAAATGATCGGAGAGAGATGTGAGAAATAGGTCGGAGGTTGGATGTCTTTCTCCTACTACTCTTCGTCGTGTGGGTGCATGTGTTGTTGGATCTGGTTATCTCTAGGTTCACCGATGCATAAGTCTCGACCCCTCCTTCCTTCCTTTGCAATTCACAGTCTTAGTCCATTCCCATGATCCCTAATTCCATGAGTTGAATTGTGTGTGTGTGTGTGTTTTCTTTTTTTTGATCAATGTTGTTGGAGATCTCCAACTTCCCTGATTCAATGTTGTTGGAGGGGGATGGGAAAAGTTTACTGGACTTTTTTATTTTTATTTTTTATTATAACTACAAGAACATTATAATGAATTTATAAATAGGGGTCTAAAAGTCTTTTTAATAAGAGTAAATATGTCATTAAATTTTTTTTATAAAAAGGTGGATAAAGAAATAAGACATTGGGGTGGGCGCCTAGTAACACTATTTCAGATTTAGGTTTAGTTTTTAACTTTTTTTATTTTTAATTTTTTTGAAAGTTTTTAATTTTAAATTTTTTTTAATATCTACGTGGGCTCGTATTGACACGTGACGCTTAGTCATTGTCTACATGGGCGCCACGTCATCAATTAACGGATGACTTAACAGCCAACTTAACGGATGTACGAAACTATCCCAAAATTAAGACTTAAGGTATGATTTTAGGATGAAAAAAAACTTCATTTACTAAATGTTAAAAACCATAAAACTTCAGAGTAGTAAACTAAGATTAACACTTATTATTTTCTCCAAAAATGACAGATAACTGGCACGTGTCCCTCTCGATTAGAAAAGCCGTAAGGCGCCAAACTCAAGCCAGCCAACAAACCTGACTTCTCTTGCATGCACAAGACCAACTGACTCTAGAATTAGAATTCGAAGGAAGCCAGCCATCTCCTTTTACACAGAAACTTGGCCACACCTTGTCCACAAAAAGCACTTCCCAACTCCATCTGCTTCAATGGATAACACAAACAAATCACACACCCCAAATTACTCAGAAAGCAAAAGAACACAAAAATGTCAGTGGCATCTTCCTTTCCCTGTATTAAAATCTCACCTGCATCATCATCTTCCTCCTCACATTCATCTTCTTGTTCATCAAATCATTCTTTTATGCTGTCTTCTTCCTCTTCAACAAAGCCTTACCATGTAAAAATTAGCATAAAGAGCTCCCAGACTGAAGGGCCTATCAGAAGACCTGCTGCTCCTTCCCTCCGAGAACCCTCCCAGCCGTCTTCCCCTCTCAAACCAACGCCTCCTTCTCCTCCGTCTCCTTCTCCACCGCCTCAGCAGCCCTCGAATCCGGCCCAGGTTTCCGGGCTGACGATGGTGGAGGACAAGAATGTGGTGACCTTGGAGTTTCAGAGGCAGAAGGCTAAGGAGATTCAGGAGTACTTCAAGCAGAAGAAGCTTGAGGCTGCTAACCAGGGTCCTTTCTTTGGCTTTGTTGGCAAGAACGAGATTAGCAATGGCAGGTAAAAGCTTTTAAATTTGTTTATCTGGGTTTATGCAGTTTTGTTTGTCTGGATTATCATTGGATTAGGTGAAGATTAATCAAAATTGAAATGAATCTAAAATCTTACTGGAAAAATGGCTGATCAAATGAGTAATTTTATTTTTATTTTTTATAGCAAACCCTAAGAACTGCATCCACATGTATCTATCAGACCTAAAGAAGAGCAGCTTCACTTGTGTGAAACCAACGAAATGATAAGTTCACCGGGCTTTCGATGATATCTTTGGATTTTGCTCTTTCAAGGTGTATGTCAAATGCATTTAGTTGGAGTTGCATCCTACTTCTTTTAGCTTTGGCTACCCTCCTTCGATTGAACCTGTTGACATTAAATCACCCGTTTTCGATTAAATATTAGCAAGCCTGCTATCTCGCCTTTGCCTCTTCTACTTGTAGTACTGATGTTGTAGTCAGCTTGTTCTTCATAAATGAGATCGAGAGGCTTCGTCTCAAAGCACCCGACTTCTATAGGTTTACTTATTCGTTGTGACATCAAAAGTTTTAATATCAGAGGGGTTTTTGCCTTCTTGCCTTCTCTTTCGGGGATAGTAGGAAGGTTTGCGTTTACCTAGATAATATTGTTTGGGAAGCGTATTTGATTTATCAGTTTTCGGTCATTTGGTTTTTAACAAGTTAAGCCAAAGAATTGAAAATTTGGTTTTGAAGATTTGCTTAATCATTACTAAGGAACCTCTGCCTAAACTCCGAATGTTAATTACACGCCAACACCCCTACTTAGAAATTAGAAAATAGAATCTAAAATTAGAATCAAGTTACATTCTGTGGCCGATTTTGTTAGTTCTGTTGGATCCCTCAACCAAACGACTTGCATTTCCGGCAAGAAAGAAAGGAATTCTGCTTCCCATTTGGGTCTGTATGTTTGTGGCATAGTTTAGTTTGTTGATCTGTGATCTTCCTTCTCTTGTATTTGTGATTTTGGCTTTACAGATGGGCAATGTTCGGTTTTGCTGTTGGAATGCTAACGGAGTATGCAACTGGCTCGGACTTTGTTGATCAAGTAAAGATACTTCTTTCGAATTTCGGAATACTGGATCTGGAATGATACACCGGCCCGGTGGGATGTTGAAAGCCTTAATACCTTCTTGTCTCTGGAGCGACTGCAAATACATTCACTGTTTCACTTGTAACTTTGTTGAGTAATTTGTTTAAATTTCATTTGCAAGAAATACTCGGCTATCATACGCTGCTGTATTTTACTTACAATGTTTACCAGGATTTCAACGATTGAAGAAGTTCCCCAGAGCTCGTTTGATAACATTTTTGTATTCAGTTTGTTTCCTTTTGAAGTAAACAGAAAGAAAGGCAAAATAAAATGGGTGGAAGGTTGAGAGGCAGGTCAGAGGTGAAACCGAAACCACAAACCATCTAGAACTGTTTTTCTAGCATTGGTGAGCGAGAGTCCGCGCAGTGATTTGTGATGTTTGGAGCACGCAAGATGAATGCAGCTCGAAAAGCAGGTTGATTATGCAGATCATGGCAGGATGATTTGAGTTGAACTCGTTAACGCCTGTTTGTTTTTTTTTCTTGCTAGGCTAAACTCCATTCGTTTTCGCGTATTTCAAACCAAAAAGTACTTCTAAAGCATCATAAGAAGTTAAGAACAAAGACACCACTTTCCTAAACCTGCGATTCGATGCAAGAAAATTATGCAGTTAAGAGAATCATCAGTTATTGGGAGCAGCCTCTCCATAAAATGGGGGTAAGGCTAGCCGACATTCACCTCTCCCAGACCCTGCGTAGAGCGGGAGCCTTGTGCACTGGGTACGACCTTTTAGAGAATCATCAGTTCAGATGCCTAACTACATATTTTACAGACAAAGAAGAGCAATACACAGCTGAAACTAACCAGCTAATCACCCCTAACATTTACTTGACAACTGCATAGATAAGAGTAACCAGAAACAGCGCGCAAACAACACGCATTCCCTTTTGCAGATACAGCATCTTTGCCTCCAGTTTTTCCACCCTAGCCTCCACTCGAGCTATCCGCGCTTCCAACATTGCCAGCCGTGCTCCCCACCTTGTCTCCCCAACATCTACGCCATCTGCCGTGCTCTGTGCATAATCTTCACCCTGCAGAGAATCGTCTTCCCAAGCTTGATAGTTACACATCTCACCAGACTAAAATTCCTGAATCACAGCATAACATTTTCCAATTTACATACTTTCAAAGCTGTCTCTGGCAATCAAGGTAGCTATTGATGGATTGAAACTAAATATTCGCATTTTGATTTCAATAAATAATGGACATAAAACTTAAACACGACAAGACTTTCTCTCACTCATCGATATTCTAAACTACTTTAATATGCCAACGAGCGAACAAACTGGGTGCGAGGAGGTTGACGCTACCCTAGCCAACTAGCCTAACTCACATCTACAAGACGACGTTTCGGTAGTGGTATGATTGGTAAATTCCACAATATCCATAGAGCATCATAGAAATGATCTACAACTCCAATTAGACAATACCAGAAAGTGCAGGGCAGATAAACCACCATTAAAATCTGAATGTTTTTAATTTTACATGTAAATTAGAAAACACAATTGAAACTACGAATCAACTTTAGCTTGCATTTTCTATCCTTTTTCTTGTATCTCCGTTCTGGGTTTCATATATTTTCACCGCTGCGATTCGATTTTTTGTCTAATTTCACCATTATTTGCGAAAGACCCACATTTTATACAAGTAAAACAAAATAAAAAATGGATTAAAGCAAATACCTTTTAAGAGAAACTTGAATTTTCTAGTTTGAGGCTGAGCCGAGGGCTTTGAGGGTTTCTTACCAATCAAGATTCAAGTCTGGCCGTGGGAGAAACTGGCGAACCCAAGACACAGCACAGATGAAAGGTTATTACTTTTTCGGGTCGGGGAGGGAGACTTGTGAGATCACCCATCAGTCGGGCAGCCAAACCAAGGTTATTGGTTGAGGCCATGGGGCCTGGCCCCTCCCTGGGCCACTCGCATCTTATCTCACCAGAATGGACTCGTCAAGATTTTTCAATTTGTTAGGAACACAAGCACATATGTCATATATTATTGTATAAGTAGAAATTTTTTTTTTTTGCTTGTATAATGAATGATATATGGCATACAGTTCCGTATTCTAGATATATTGAAAAATCTTTCCATTCAGACTTAGATGTTGACGTGCCAACATCAGGCCAAAATTATTTATTCAAATAACACTTCACTCCTTCCAAATAAGAAGAAAGCCCTCATTCACCATTAATGTGATATCATTATTTTACCATACAAATGCCATAACCAAAATTGTTCATTATCTTCATCATGATTTAAAGATCGTTCTAGAAAAAGTCATTCAATTCGATTGTCGTTTTGTAATTGTACGATTCAAAGTTTTTGACTCCATAAACTAGAACATAGTATTTTTCACATTAGCATTATACAAGACTCACTTTGGATGATTACATACATATATATAGGGGTGTGCTATCCACACATCTCTTTTTACTTCTCACACATCCCTTGTTAATTTTTATCAATTGATCTTCTTCAATTCATCTGATCCGACTGCCGAAAACCAAAAAGGTGTGGGAGAAGTAAAAAAGGGTGTGTGGATATCACACCCCTATATATATATATATATATATATATATATATATGATTGACTACTTCCTTCGTGTCAAGTATCAATTTTTTGTTTTAATTACATGGTTGTTTGGTGTTTTATTTTCTTGTTAAATCTTGAGTTTTTTAAGCCATAATTATATACATCATTGTGACTAATTATTGAAGAAGACTAACTAAATAAATGTCTACTGCATTGGAAGACTCGAGTCCTCAAGGGCTCCTCCTTGAACCATTTTAAGCCATTGCAAATATATTTAATGGCTTAGCTAAACTGGTCTCTCTTTAAATTGGTATAAAACAGTTTATTTTTAGTTATGCTTTCTAGAACTCGATTTTGATCTCATTTTATTTTCGAAAATTCAAAAGTCGTTACTTTGCTCCCTGAAACTCAATTTTGATCCCACTTTGTTTCTTAAAACTCAAAAGCCATCATTTTGCTCTCTGAAATTCGATTTTAATCTCATTTTGCCATTTGAAACTCAAAAGTCGTTACTTTAGGATTAATTATTGTATGCTTATATAATTGAATTGCTTGAATTAAAATCTGATATGAATTGTCTTTTCCTTTGACTCAATCACTTACACACACAATTAAGGTTGATTACTCTCTCTCTCTCTCTCTCTCTCTCTCTCTCTCTCTCTCTCTCTCTCGCTAGTGCTTGTTATATCATGAAGTGCATGCACCCTTTAGAATTCCTTAGGAAAACTCATATGAATCCAATAATTTAACTTTCATACAAAAGATTGGTATTTACTATTTAGGCTGCTATCCATCTCTATATCGATTCAAACAAGACTCGGACTTCTTGTCTTGTTTGGATTGATTTTGATTTCAGATTATACATGTTGCTGAATCCTCAACAACGTCAAGAGTTGATGGACATCTTTGTTTTTGTAAGCATATCAATACAACATGTAATTATATGTTAAACAGTGGAGATGATAAAGTCAAACGACATCAACAATTAAATAAAAAAGAAAAAGATTAATGGATAGAAGCCGTGACAGATTTAGAATTTGAATCATGTAAGGTCTTAATGTTAAATAGGAACAAAGCGCAAACTCGCAAAACTCTAAAAAACCAATTTATTCACTTGGTGGGCTTGTTATGTACATGTCAATAAATATCGGCATATGCCGAAGCAATCTGAAAAGTGATATGAAGATAATTTGTCGAGTGTTGTTAACACAATATATCGAGATATACGTAACATGTATTACATAAATATCTAGTAGACACAGAAATGATTCGTACCAAATCATATCGAAGGATCCTCAAAAAACATTTATACGTATATTTTTCGAACTCAAATAATCCTAAGACCGCCTTGGCCCTAGTTCCATCCGCCCCTGCATAGAAGAATCCTAGTCTGCAAACAAATGTCAAGAAGAAGGAAAGTAAAATAATACATAGAAAAGGACGAAATATTGTCTTTGACCAAAAAAATAAAATAAAATAAATAAATAAATAGAAAAGATGTAATTGTCACATGGTTGACACATGTCGATTTAATCCTTCCCTCCTCTTTTACCCCTCCTGATTTGGCAATTGAGCGAGAAAGGCAAGAAAGGAAGCAATCAAGGACAAAAACACCTCTATTTTCTCCCGCACAGTATGCCTCCAATTTGCCGCCCATGGACGGCCAAGATTCCCGCATATTCGCCTACTACCCCTCCTCATCTCTCTCGTTCCTCCTTCTCCCTCCTCATCTCTCTCGTTCCTCCTCCTCCCTCCTCTTACTCAAAGAAACCCCAGACTGGTCTCGACCCACAAGCCAATGGGAATAGTTCAGGCCAAGCCTCTCACCAGCTCCGCACCTGGTGGGCTAGAGAAGCTCAAACTGGATAATGGGCACGTCGCAAAAGGGCCGCTTAATGGTCACAGACGATCAACTGGACAGTTCCATAGGGACCCTTTTAAGCCGCAGCAGCAGAGGGGTGAGGCCAGAGTTTCAAATGTCGAGCATGGCAGTGGCGGCAGCAGCAATGAAAAGGCGACGGCGGCGGATGAGGGGGCGGCGTTGACCGGTGGTAGCGAGGGAGAGAAAGATGATGGGAGTCAGAGAGTTTCTTATAAAGTTTCTGTGGATGAGGAGTTGGTGGATGGATGGCCCAAGTGGCTCACTGATAATATTTCGAGGGAGATTTTGGCTGGCTTGGTTCCCAAGAGTGCTGACTCTTACGACAAGCTCGATAAGGTTTGATTCTGTTATGTTACTGTCACTCTCAACTTGAATTCATTAGAACTGTGATATGCATGTGTTTCTTCCTTTATTAGTGATTGGAATTTGTATTGTTCTGATAGTTTTCTAGATTCTTGTGTGGTTTTGTTTTGTGGATTCAATCGAAAAGTGCAGGGTCCCGTTTGATAAACGTTTTGTTTTAGTTTTCACTTTTCGTGCTTAGAATATGAGAAAAGTGCATGGGGAAAACGTAAGATTAAGAAGGGTGATGCGAGAGGGGGGAAGAGATCAAGAAGAATGAATAAAAACAAAATCTTGAAAGTGAAGTATGCCGAACTATTGGAAACGTTTGGATATTCTTTACTTCAATTTTGGGGTTACCCGTCTTTACAAATCACTAGAAGTTTATCAATTATGATATAAATTCTTTGTTTGGAGATATATTCATGGGTTGGCTGGATTATTGTTGAGAAGAGGCTGGCGTTCGAACTTTGTGTTATTTTTTTTAACCCCCTAATGTTTTGCTGTTGTAGGTGGGTGAAGGAACCTACAGCAATGTGTATAAGGCTCGAGACAGGGACACTGGAAAAATCGTTGCCTTGAAGAAGGTCCGGTTTGATACATCGGAACCTGAGAGTGTTAAATTTATGGCACGAGAGATTATGTTTTTACGGAAACTGGATCATCCCAATGTAGTCAAGCTTGAAGGATTGGCTACCTCAAGAATGCAGTACAGCATTTATCTTGTTTTTGATTTCATGGTGTCAGATTTGACAAGAATTATTTCCAGCCCTGAAGGGCTTACTGAACCACAGGTCTAAGTTTTCTCCTAACTCGTGGATTCTTAATTTGGATGCTTTGATTGGTTGGACTCTCAGTTTCTAACATGAACTATTGACACAGGTCAAGTGCTATATGCATCAATTGCTTTCAGGCATGCAGCACTGTCACGAGAGGGGAATTATACATCGAGACATCAAGGGATCAAACCTATTGTTAGATAAAAGTGGAATGCTAAAAATTGCAGATTTTGGGCTTGCAAACTATTATGTGCAAAGCCCTAAGCGCTCTCTCACAAACCGAGTTGTGACACTTTGGTACAGGGCGCCTGAGCTACTGTTAGGTTCTACAGATTATGGAGTTGGCATTGATCTTTGGAGTGCTGGTTGTGTCTTGGCTGAAATGTTTACAGGGAGACCACTTCTGCCTGGTAGAACAGAGGTAATTCAATGTTGAGCATGTGCGTGTGTGTTTTTCCAGGTGAGAAGAACGGGTTTATGATCTTACTATTGCTGGCTAGTTGCTCAACAACATTCTACTTGCTTTCAGGTTGAGCAACTTCATAGGATTTTCAGGCTTTGTGGCACACCATCAGAGGACTACTGGAAAAGACTGAAGCTATCTACAACTTTTAGACCTCCACGTTCGTACAAACCCAATCTTCAAGAAGCTTTCAAGGATTTCCCTATTTCTTCATTGGGTCTGTTGAGCACTCTCCTTGCTTTAGATCCTGCCTACCGTGGCTCTGCATATTCGGCTCTGAAAAACGAAGTCAGTACAAATTGAAAGATGAAAAGTTTTTTACCAACTACATGTTTTTCCAGTAGCTTCTGTTCCTTATGATTCTTGTTTTTAGGCATCCATGACATATAGTATGAATTCTTGCTTTTGGTGTTGAATTTGTGTTGCAAGTGCACGTATGACTCGTGAGTTAATTTGTGAATGTTATATACTAAAAAGGAGTTCTGTTTACAGTTCTTTTTCAGAAGCCCCTTAGCATGTGAACTTTCTGGTCTACCTGTAATCTACAATGCGGATGATGAATTGAAACTAGCCAATGAGCATAAAAAGTAAGTTGATGTTTTCTTTTCTTTAAGATCGATTAGGAAGGTATTTAACAGCATGACTTAGACACCCTGTTAATTGGTTCAATGTCATTAACCATGTCTTTCTAAGTGAATTTGGTTTTCTTCCTGTTCCGTCCAATAACGTCTCTGATGGATTCTGCTTGCATTAAATGTGAAGGTGCATGAACGTATTCATGCACAAATCTGTAGAGAATCTAGAGATCACACTACCTATATCCTTCAATTGTATGGCAGTGTGTGATTTCGGGAGTTACCAGATTAAAGGATGCATGATCCTGTGTCCTAAACCCATGAATGCACACACACAAGCACACAAGCATGCCATG